TCTTTGTAGTGCTTCAGACCACTGTCGTACCTCGGAGTTTTGAACAATTTGACTCGAATACTTTTCGTCCATTACTGAAAGCTTTCCAATTTGATGATTAACTAAAGATCAACACCCTCAATCTTGAATGATGCAATGCAAATATCAAAAATGAAAGGAAACAAGAAAATGAAACAAGTTAGTACATGTAATGAGTTAATAAAGTTTTGGAAAAAAAACCTACCCATCATGATAGCTACCCAAACATACTTTTTAATAAATAACAATCCTACCCAATCATGCTTTCTAACCCATATACTTAAAATAATAAGATAAACCTTAAACCGTATAATTTTCTAATTCACATGCATTTATAAAAAATAAATTTAAAAAAAGGTTAGAGTTCATTTCTCCTTTGTGTACACTTATTTGGGTACCTATGGACAAAGTTTCGGCTTGGTCTTAAATCGGGTGGGTTTCTATGGTTTATTATATGCAGAGTTTCGGTTCTAAGAGTAAAGGTACTCGAATTGTCCTTGTTGGTGCCCCCTTGGGCGAGCCAGACCCTCAATCCTCACCCATTATAGGCTTAAGCAGATCGAGTTCAATTCGAGGGGGCACATTTCCCTATGCCTGACACGGAGAATAAATTCTCACGAAGACATAGGATATATGTACCTCGGAAGCTAATTGCTAGGTCTGACACGGAGAATAAATTCTCACGAAGACGTCGCTTTCACTCCCACTTAAAAGGAAGAGCTCGTGTATATAGCTTATGTTATGCAATGCAAGTGTTGTGTGTGAGGAGAAATTATCAAACCTTTGACAAACAACGACACAAAAATGAACTAAAGCGAATCTGAGACTTTAACATCTGAAAATTAATCAAATACACTAATTAGTATACAAAGATATTAAATAACAATTGAAAGGAATCAAAGGAATCGTAAATTAAATATAACCGAATTCTCAATTTCTAACTATAGACACCATATATAATCGATTTAAGGATTGAGCCTCTAATGTCCCCAGCGGAGTCGCCAAGCTGTCGTAACCGATTTCCGGCGATATGACGAGTCTCGACTCATTTCGTGAAAACCCGATTTTATAAAAGAAATGTTTCGGAGTCGCCATCGACCTTTTGGGTTAGGTAGGCCGAATACCCAAAAATCTTCTTTTAAAAGAGTTTTTTTAAGAAAAACATCATTTTAAAAGATGCATCGATCCACGTATAACCAGAAATTCATTTTTAGTAACAAAAAAGAGTTCGGGGGTCGATTACGTGTGGGGAAGGATTAGCACCCCCACAACGCCCAAAATTGGTACCCATCGATTATATATTGTCTCTAAATAGTAGAAATCTAAGAATTCGAATATATATTTAGATCACGATTCCATTATTCCTAATTCAACCATACAAATATTATAGAACAAAAATTTTAAGGAAAAATATAAAATATTCTCTTATTTCCAATTGAAGAGAAAATACTCCCTAAAATACTTTAGGACGAATATTTCTCTTCCCAACTGAAATAAAAAGAATATAATAATTTTTCCTAAGGATTCCATATAAAAAAAATTATTCTACCAAAGAAAGAAATTAAATTTATTAATCTGAATATTATTAGAAAAGATAAGGGATATTCAATAATTTAAAAACACCGAGACTTAATCTCTAATAAAATTAGCAAATTGTCTCGATAAGTTTAAAATAATGAATATTTCCTTTTCCCTTCAAAATTAATTAATTTTAAATGCAATCAATTTTTTAGGTTTTTCTAGTGGGATATTTATTTATTTTAAAATATCGAAAAATGACATCTAGTTGTTTTAAGACTGTCCCTTCTTAATATTTTAAAATACATAAATACTACCCTTAATCCAATTATATAATCGATTAAGTTATGCTAATGAGGCTTTTAAATAAAATAGAATATGATACATTGAAGCACTTAGCGAAAAAAATATAAATACACATGGATTAAAAGAACAATTTTAAAATTATTTATAACTTTATTTGACTTTTATAAATATATACATAATTTTCTAAATATTATATTAACCTACGTCATGATATTTATTATAAAACACAAAGAAATAATAATATAATATTTACACAATATAATATATATGTAGTATTAAATAAGTATATAACAAAGTAAGAGACAATAAAATACATAAATAGATACATATTACATAAAACAAACTTTAAGGCTATAAATAAACAATATACATTTATATCTATTCATTACATGGTGACAAAATAATTATAAAGCAACTTTGATATCTTAAACATTAATAAAACAAATATTATAGCATTAAACCAGAAAATAACAAGTAGAAGCATCATAATCATAATAAAACCATAAACATAGGACTAAAATGGAATATCATAAATATCAGTACCCAATTTCAAACACACAAAAAAACATACAACAGAGGACTAAATTAAAATAATACAAGATTATGCAACCAATTCGCAACTCATTGAAAATAAACAGAAATGGAGACCAAATCACAAAACACGGTAAAGCTAGGAGGACCTGAAGTGTGATTAACCCTAAAGAATGACTAACACACTACTCATATTAAACAGAAAGGATCAAGAGGGTGATTTACCCCTAAACTAGTGACCATGGCGTATAACAAGCTAAAGGTCTAGGGACCTTAGCGTGGTTTACCCAAAAACCTTAAATATCAATCCCTTCCCCCTTTCCAGATTTCACTTCTACCCGTGGTTTCTAATCCCCAACTCTTTCTCTCTTTTCTTCCTCCCTCAACTCACAGCAACCTCTCACCAAGGAAATCAAAGAGAGCCACCACACACGGCGGCGCTACTACCCAAACTACACTAACCCGGCTCTAATCGCTTCCCCTACGACTCTATTCGACAAGGAACACAAAAAACTCCAGGTAAATTTACTCTTAACTTATTTTCTTTCCCTAAAAATTTTATTCAAGCTTTGTTTTAGTTTATTATCTTTTTTTTTTAACCAAAGAAAACGAAAAGAGAAGAAAAATACCTTAAAAAAAAGGCTCTTGTATTTCTGCTGAAAAAACGAGAGGAAGAGATCCCTTCTCGGTTACATGGTTTTGGTTCTTATAACCAATTTTACATAGGTTTAAAAAAAATAAAAAATAATCCTAGCTCCACTGTGGTGTTACTGTTGTTGATGATGGTGTGCTTTTAATGCTCCAGATATTCCGGGGTTTTGTTGAGCGAGCTTGGATCGGCGGTGACGGCTGAATCATGATATCTCTATGGTTAGGATTAGGTTTAAGGTTTTGTTGGGTTTGAATTTTTGAGGTTTGGGGTTATGGGATTTAGGGGTTATGAAAAATTGTGGCTACACCATCGTCTCGTCCTGTTATATCTGTTTGGGTTCAATCGGCCACTGCTAGTCTGAAAGCCACAAAAGAAAGCTCTATAAATCTAGTTTGCGGCGTTGGTTCCTCGGGTAAGGAGAATTTGGGTGTTAATAGGGTTTCAAATAGTGGTCGCGTTTTCGATTATTTCGGATTTACCGTGATTGCGGCCGTCGCGGACGCTATTGCGGCCGTAGCGGGTAACTCGGACGGCGGAAAAACCGCTTTATCGCGGTCAAAATCACGGTCGCGGACCGTTTTTTAAAACCCTAGGTGTTAATACACCAGATGTTAATGTTAATGGTTTGATAGAAGTGGGGTGGTTCACCGGGAATTTCTAAGAATTTTTTATCATGTTAGATTGCTTGTTATGGAATAGTCAAAGGGTTTCTAGCCTCGCCTACCGGCGTTATTTTAAACAGCTTGTTCATTATCATAACCTTCTCTGGTTGCCTTAATAGAGACTAGGGTGAGTGGTTGCAAAGCGGATTCAGTTATCTCGAAATTTGGCTTTCAAAATTCTTTTCGTGTTAAGTGCAAAGTTTCAGTGGTGGCATTTCGTTACTATGGCATGATCATCTGAGCGTTAATATCCTGTAAATCAATAATTAATATATTTATTATTCGGCTCATAGTTCTGGTTGGGGTAGACCAATATTTCTTTCAATTATTTACACTAGTCCGAATATCCTTGTGAGGAATCATGTTTGGGCCCATCTTGATCCGAGGGCCAATTACCCTTGGCTCTTGGACGAGGATTTTAATGCTATTTTAAGTCGGGAGTAAAGAACAGGAGGAGCAGTTGATTGTGCGGGAATTAGTCGAAGCTTTCCTACGTTTGTGGATGACTGTGCTCTGTTCGATCTTGTTCTCTGAGGGCTTCCCTTTACTAGGTCTCGTGGTTCTTTGCAACAAAGGTTGGATTGTTGTTTAGTGAATTCATGTCGGTATTCTCTCTGCTTGGATATAATGGTTTTCCATCTTCATCAGTTGGGGTCGGATCATCGACCCTTATGCGAATGGAGCTTAATTGTCCTTCTCCTAGCCGCATGCCTTTCCTATTTATTTTTGCTTGGCAACATTACCCAGAGTTTAGAAATTTTCTCACGCAGAATTGGGCTAAGGAAACTGATATGGTTGCTAACCTTCAATCCCTACAAACTAAATTGACAGACTAAAATCTCTCTACTTTTGGTATCATTAGGAAACACAAAAAACCTCATATAGCCCGTTTATGTGGCATTGATCTCTCGCTCCAATACAAGCAGTCAGTCTTCCTTTTGAATTTAGAGACTCAGTTGAAGGCCTAGTTGGAGATTCTCCTTGAGCAGGAAGAGTCCTTATGGATGTAAAAATCCCAGTGTAATTGGATTCTAAACGGGGATCGTAATACGAGATACTTCTATACATGTGCTAAAAACTATCATCGACACAATACTATTTCCATGTTACGTAGAGATGATGGGAATTGGTGCAAGGATCAATCTGAGTTACGCTGCCTTGCGGTTGATTTTTTCACTAAGTTGTTTATGAGTAATAAGAACTATGGGTATACCTATCATATATGTGGACGTTTTCCTCCTATCTCAGATTTTGCTCGTAGTTTTTTATCGGTTCATGTCTCTGATGACGAGATCAGATAAATGGTTATGAATATGGATCCCTCCAAAGCTCCTGGTATTGATGGTTTCCATGTCTTTTTCTTTGAATGTAATTGGGATGTGGATGGATTACAAGTATGTCGTATTATTCGAGATTCTTCCTAAAGAAAGTTATTCCCTCTGAGATGAATAAAACTCTACTTTTCCTTATTCCCAAGATTAATCTGCTGGATTCTATCACGCAGTTTTGTCCTATAGGCCTATGTACTGTGCTCTATATAACAGTCAACGAGGTGGTGGTGTACCGGCTCAAACCCATTCTTCCAGAGTCAAAAAGTTGTTTTGGTTAATCTGTTATAAGGGTCTTTTGACTGATGAAAAGAGAGTCCGTCGGCATATTTCTGTTAACACCGCATGTGCGCTTTGCATGGCTATTCTGGAGTCCATTTCACACATTCTGCGTGAGTGTACTACATTTTATTCGACTTGGAAAACCCTTATTAAACCTTGTCGTCTTACTGAGTTCTTAACTATGAATGTCTTGGAGTGGATCCGGATAAATCTTCTTGACCCAAATTACTTCCCAAATAATGGCAATGATTGGGATATAATGTTTGGGTCAATCTTTTGGTGCCTCCTGACAAGAAGAAACAAGTTTATTTTTGAATCAGACTATGTGGAATTGGAGAGTGTAATGCAACGTCGTCGAAGGATGTGTGATGAGAATTCTCGTGCTCATGCTGTCAGTGCTTGGTATAAAGCAGGTGCATCAAATACTTTTTGTGGGGTTTCAAAATAGAGCTTTCCTTCTCCTAGTTGGTTTAAAATAAACTCTGATGGCGCTCGTATCCCTTCAACTGGTCTAGCTATATATGGGGGGCCATCCAAGGCTCGAATGGGCATTATATGATCAGTTTCACGAAAGCGCTAAGGTGTTGCTCTGTCCTTGATGCAGAATACTGGGGTGTCTACGAGGGTTTGAGAATCGTTTGGGAGATGGGCATGAAGAGCGTGGAGGTTGAATCGGATAACAGAGAGGTAATTGAGTTACTTTGTCAAGGAAAGGCAATGAAAGGGGTCTCCTACATGACTCCCTATCTGATCGAAATCATCTCCCGAAGCTGACAACTCTGGTTTTCTCATATTTCTAGTAATGTTAATCACGTTGCAGATGTAATGGCAGAAGCTTCTTGGTCACTGCCCTTTGGTGCTAAAAGATTTGCAATCATGCCTGAGGCTGTATCCAGCGTGCTGAGGGATGATAGTGATTATAACATTGTGATGTAGTCTTTAACCTTTTCTTCATTTGTAATTAAAAAAAACACATAATGATAAAAGTAACCCCGAATGTTGGTATAGATGGTCACTCTATTTTTTTTCTTTGAATATTTTAATTATTAATCAAAATAATATATAGGGTAAATACGTGTTTAGTACGTAACTATAAAATTTGGTCTGTTTTAGTACCTAGGTTTTTAATTTTTTCAAAACCATACCTAACGTTTAATTTTTGTTTCATTTTGTACCTCGCCGTTAAAAACTTAACGGGGATTTGCACATGACACTTTTTTATGGGTAAATTACATCATTCATCACACAATTATCTTCTCACTCTTATTTTGGTCGCTAAAGTTTAGTTTTTTTAGTTTATTTACCTAACTTCTAAATTACTCCTAATTTAATCACTTTAGTTTTCAATTTTTTTTAATTATATGTTAATAAAATAATAATAAAAATGTCATATCACAAAAATTATTAATAAAATAAATTAGAGTGATTAAAATAGGAGACATTTGAAAGTTGAGGAGTTAAATTGAAATTTTTTAAACTTTAGTACCAAAATAGAAGTGGGAAGATGGTTGAGGGATGAATGATGTAATTTATCCACAAAAAATGCAATGTCGTTTTAACGATGATATCTTAAAATGAAACAATACTAAGCGTTGTATATGGTTTTAAAAAAATTAAAAATTTAAGTACTAAAATGAACCAAAATTGATAGTTTGGATACTAAATACGTAAGTTACCTTAATTTATATTAGATAAAAATTATTAATTAACTGATTATTAGATCTAAATCAAATCAATTAAATATCAAATTAATGTATATGAAAGTGATATTATCCAACTCATTGTTGGAAAAAAGGTTAAATTACATTGATAGATTTAATATTTATATTAAATTCAGAGTCCTTTTAAATATTATAAATTAAAAGATATGATTTAATTTGAATATTAGTAGGATAATTACTCTTTTAATATGTCAATTTAAAATTATATGTGTTACCTTTTTAACTTTGAACATTAAAAGATAATTATACACTTTTGTTTATTTTAATTAAAACAATATTTGTTTAATTTGAATAATAAAAGAATGTATATCTGTTTAATATTTTAAAGTTAAAAGATATTATTTTTTATTTAAATTTAAATATTAAAAGATTAATGTTTAATATTTTCTCTCATTCTCAGAAAATATCTCTTTTCCCTTAGTTTTTCTGGTGAGAGTCGAAGGCAAAGAAAATTATTGAAGTCTGCTGTTGTGCTACTGTAGCTGATCATCTAGTTGTTGTATCTTGGTAGACAGACGACCAAAGGATCTCGAGCACCAATGAATGGCCGAAAATTTATCTTAAGGAAACTATGTAACGACAGGCCTCAACTGATTCCGATCTCAGGATCAAAATACAAAGTATTTTATTTCCTTTAATTCTCTTTTATTTTTTTTAAAAGAATTTGATTATTTCTTTTACTTTTCTCAGGTTCCAATTTATTCTCGGATTGTTACTCTCGGATAACAAACTTAAGACACATTTCTCTTCTTCTACCTTTCTTGATTCGAGACAATTCAGAATTGTGGGGAAAAAACAAAAACGAGATAGTAAACAAATTTGTTTTGGATTTATCCTGCCGTCTTAACATGTTTACTAAAATATCAGAGTGGACAAATCTGTATAACATAAATTATCATGAAAGTAACTGCGGTTACTGATTATTTTTCAGAATTTTGATTATGTCCGATAAAAAAATCTAAATAAATGAGAATTAATTTTCTATTTATTTCTAATTATGGTTTCGTTTCTGTTATAGAAAAATAGAGACAATAGACTCTACTGGTTCCCCAACATGAATACTAAGATGGTGGTACCGGTTCAGAATCCAAATATGAATGTGAGTCAATCAGCAGTGGCAATTAACCACAACGAAAAGTCGAAAAAAATTTCAGGGAAAATTTCAAGATGTGGCAACAAAAGATGGCTTTCTATTTGACCACATGGAGCCTTTCAAGGTTCTTGAAGGAAGATCATCATGTTCTTAAAGATGGAAAAGACAATGTTATTGCTTTCAATATTGTTGAAGCTTGGAAGAATTCAGATTATATATGTCAAAATATAATACTGAATTTTCTTCAAGATTCATTATATCCGGTATATGTTGGTTATGAAACATCAAAGAAATTATGGGAAGCATTGGACCACAAGTACAAAGCTGAAGATGTTGGAGCTAAAAAGTTTTTAGTTGCCAAGTTCTTGAATTTTACTATGGTTAACTCTAAACTAGTAGTAAACCAAGTGGAGGAATTCCAACTATTGATCAATGGAATCCTTTCGGAGAGAATGGTCATAGGCGAATCCTTTTAGGTAGCCGCCACAATTGACAAATTACCTCTTGGATGGAGTGACTTCAAGAATTATCTGAAGCACAATAGGAAGGAAATGACCATGGAAGAACTGGTTATCAGACTTAGAATAGAAGAAGACAACATAATTACTACCAGAAAGCTCAACAAAGAAGATAGTAAGGCAAACGTGATGCAAGTCAATGACTCAAAGAAGGGAAAACAACCCAAGAATAGGTCATAATTGGGACCTAAAGGTGGAATTTACAAGAAGGAGAAATTCCAAGGGAATTGCTTTAACCGTTGAAAGATGGGGCACAAATCCTCTAAGTGTAAACATCCAAAGAAAGCCAAAGCTCTCGAGGCTAATGTTGTGGAAATAATGGCTAAGGGTGTGGAGGATATAGATCTATGTGATGTGATCTCTAAAGTCAACCTGGTTGACTCTAATCAAAGATAATGATGGCTCGATGCTGGTTCCACACGTCATATTTGTTGCGATAAGGAATCTTTCTCTGAAATGACACCTTACAACAATGAGGAGAAGCTCTACGTGGAAAAGAACTCAAGCTGCAGAATGTGTTTTATGTACCTAACATATGGAAAAATCTTGTTTCTAGAACACTCCTAAGTGTTCACGGCTTTATAATGGTGTTTGAATCCCAAAAGTTGATTTTGTCCAAAGGGGGAATGCTTGTGGGTAAAGGATATGTATTGAATGACATATGGAAACTCAATGCTATCTCTGTAAAAGCTAAAGGCATGAATAAGAATAAAGTTTCCTCTTCTATTTATATGCTTGAGTTATTTAATTTATGGCATTGTAGGCTTGGACATGTTAATTATGATGCTCTGCAGAGATTAATTAACTTGGAACACATTCCTTCATTTCATATAAATTATAATCATAAATGTGAAACATGTATTGAAGCAAAATTAACAAGTTCATCTTTTCAAACAATTGAAAGAAATACAGAACCACTTGATTTAATTCACAGTGACGTTTGTGACTTGAAATTTCCAAATGAGAGGATGAATAAATACTTTATTACCTTCATTGATGATAGGACAAAGTATTGCTATGTATATTTGCTTAAGAGCAAATATGAAGCTATAGAAATTTAAACTCTATAAGTAGTAAGTCAAAAACCAACTTAATAAAAAGAAACAACATGGTATTATTCACGAAGTAACACCACCTTATTCTCCTCAATCAAATAAAGTAGCCAAGCGAAAAAATTAGACACTAAAAGAAACAATGAATGCCTTGTTAGGAAGTTCTGGGTTATCACATAACATGTGGAGGGAAGTTGTCCTTTCATCTAATTACCTTTTAAATAAGGTACCCCGAAAAGAAAAAGACAAGACACTATATGGATTATGGAAAGGTCGAAAACCTTTCTACAAATACTTGAAAATGTGGGGTGTCTTGCTAAGGTAATGGCCTCATTACCAAAGCAAATGAAAATAGGTCCTAAAATGTGGATTGTATTTTCATTGGTTATTGAGAACATAACAATGTGCATCGATTTCTTGTATATGAATCTAAGAATCCTGGGATTCACAAGAATATGATAATGGAATCAAAGAACGCATCATTCTTTGAAAATATTTTTCCTTATAAATCTAAGGAGATTGATCAAAGTTCAATGAAATGAACCTTGGAGATTAATAATGAGGATAGTCCAGATGATCAATAAGAGGATGAAATTAAGATAGAGCCAAGAAGGAGTAAACGGGAAAGGGTTGAAAAATCTTTTGGGCCATACTTCTTAACCTTTATATTGGAGGCTAAACTTCAAGTGTATATTGAAACTATATGATCCTCTGAAGGCACCTTATAGAAGGAAGCCATTAAGAGCAAAATAGATTCCATCATGCAGAACCATAGGAGGAATTAGTGGATCTTCCTCTGGGGATTAAACCACTAAGTTATAAATGGATTTTCAAATGGAAAATGAAAGCAGATAGAACAATTGATAAGTACAAGGTTAGATTGGTAATAAAAGGATATTGAAAAAAGGTGGCCCTATACTATTTTGATACATATTATTCTGTATTAAGAATAACAACCATAAGAATGATACTAGTGATTGTCACTTTGTGAAATCTAGAAGTGCATCAAATAGATGTTAAACAACTTTCCTGATGGGGATCTTGATGAAGAAATTTACATAGAATAACCTTGAGGGTCATGTAGTTCTAAGTCAATAAAGGAAAGTCTGTAGGTTGGTGAAGTTTTGTATGGACTTAAACAAGCACAAGAATGCATGATAAGTTTGATAGTGTCATGATGACAAACTACTTCAAGATAATGAGAGTGACAAGTGTGTATATGTCAAAACAATAAGAATATGATATGTTATTCTATACTATATATTGATGACATACTCATTGTTGGAAGTAATAATGAGATGGTAAAATGTACCAAAGACATGTTAAACTCAAGATTTGACAAAAAAGATATGGATTGGCTGATACGATTCTTGGCATCCAAATTAAAAGGTCATTTAAATGCCTTATATTAACACAATCACACTATGTAGACAAGATCCTTGAAAAATTTAACAAGAGTGATAATGATATAGTCATAACTCCACTAGACTCTTATTCATATTTGTCTATAAATCCAGTTGAAAGTGTTCACCAAGTGAAATATGCAAGGGTC